GGGGGGGGTGTAACCTCACCTTGAGCCCTCAAGTCTCCCGTTTCTCTCAAACTCGGTTGAGACTCTGAGGTGCATGAGACGATCAGACAGGGAGGAGGAAGAAAGAGACAACAAAAAAAAAAAGATGTGGATTGTGCACGACAGAACATTTCAGATCAACTTCAAGTGAATTAAAAAAATAAAAAAGAGAATATGTGACGTGTTGTGAGGAGGAGAGTTGAGACGACGATAACGACGACGAGGAGGAGGAGCCACCACCGCAGAACACAACCCAACAAAAGAGTCAGAACACAGACACATGGAAGTTTTCACTTCCATTGAGATCGGTGAGGAATCATGAGACAGAAACATAAGCAGTGACAGTGACGTGAACCCGAAGTGAAACCAACGGCAGCAGACGAGAGGAGACAGTCGCTGAGCAACAGAGACGGAGAAGCAGCTCGTCGAGCGTCGACTCAAACAGCAGCTTCACGTTTTAACAGGATTCAATGGACTCAGCTGGAAAAAAAAAAAAAAAACCTCCCGAGCGTCATCGTCTGATTTAAAGTCTTCAAAATAAAGTTCTGTTTTATATCACAAAGTAAAATCAGTCAAATTCATTCACGACCTCGGAAACTTTATTCTGACGACAAATCTTAAAAAACGAAAATCTAAATTCGACAATTGAACAGAAACTCAACGTGAACCCGAGTCTATGAAACACATGAATCAGTAACACTCAGTAAAACTTCGTGAGCAGAACTTTGTCGTGTGATTTTCAGTTTATACACGTGATCAAATCTTTGAAACAAACTATAATATATATATATCATGTAGGTGAAATCCTCCTCATTCAGTTTCCCTGTTGTTTCCAGAGTCTGTCCTGCACCAAGTTATTCAACTGTAGAATTCTTTCCTCATTTTAAAAATCTACTACAAGAAGAAGAACAGGAGGTAAAATAAATTGTTCCTGAAGCTTCGAGATCTGAAGAAACAACACTTTGTGTTTCAGCGGCTCAGAGACAGAAACAGCTGACGTGTCCGAACGAGATCAGGTTTCATCGATGTGACACATTTTAAATCTGACGTCTTATTTGCGCTGCTTGTACGTGTGATAGAAAACTTTTATTTTTCAGGTTTTTAATTTTCTCAATCAGACGAAATATATTATTTTTCCTGCGATGATTAATGATAAAAACAAATTCTGATTATTTTCATATTTTCTTTTCCTTGAGAAAATTTAGTATTTTACAGTAAATTTCAGATAAAGAAATCTAAATTTCCGAGAGCAACAGATTTTATTCTAGAGATCATCTGATGGTTCTTCACAGTGACTTTAAATTCAGTTGAACTGTTCGACTGATTGTCGGCTCATCACCGAGGCAGCGCCGGAGAATTAAACTACAAACGAGGAAAACGTCGGAGTAATTCACTTCGAATAAGTTCCTCTGCTCCTCTGACGTGACGGAAAACAGAAAAACAGGACGGGTGGAGGAGGAAGTGACTCCAGACTCCCGACAGCTCGAGTGACTCGACAAACAAGAGTGAACAGACAGGACTGACAGCAGGTCCTGGGGTCAGAGAGGCTGTGAAAAATCACAAGGCCGAGGAGGAAGAGGAGGAGGTGAGGGAGGAAGGGTGAGAGCAGAGGGGGGGGGGTGAGTCCCTCCACGTAACCGACACTTTCATCTCAGGAGAAGTTGAGGGATTGAAACAGCCCCTTACTCTAGATCTTCATCTTCCTACAACTCTCTATATCTTCCGCTCCTGAATCTGAAAGAAAAAACGTGAATCTGAGGAGACGGCGAATTTCTCAATGGACACATGACAAGAAAAGAAAGAAAGAAAGAAAGGAAGGAAGGAAGGAAGAGGGAAAGAATATTTAAATGTATGACATGAAGTCAGGCGGGAAAAAAGAAAAGAAGGAAAAACCATGGAAGGATGACAAGAAGGAAGGAAGGAAGGAAGGAAGGAAAGGCTGATAAGAGACCGGAGGACAGACTTACTAAGGGTCTTTCCTCCCTGGGTAGAAGGGACGGCAGGCCCTGTTTTGGCCATCTGCCGTTTGGCCGGGTCAATACTGACCCTAGTCAGAGAGGAAGAGCAGCAAGAGGTCAAGGTTAAAGGACACAGGAAGGTTAGGAAGACAAGAACACACAAACTGTGAGGAGAGGAGTGGAGGAGGAGGAGGAGGAGGAGGAGGAGGAGGAGGTGGGAGCAGAGGGTGACTGAACCTACAACGTCCTGAAGGAGGAAAATGATTTCAACTCTTTGGTTACGTCCCAAAACGTGATTTAAAAAAAAATATATATTTGTTTTTAGCAGAAACGCACGGAGGCTTGAAACGGACAAAATGTAAGAATATTATCAGCCAAGTCAAAAAATGAATCTGAATTCAATTAAAAATAACATTAGTTAAATTAACTGAGTTCAACTCAAATATGAAGTTTTATTGTTCGTTAGTTAAATGTTGATGTGAGGACGAATTAATCCTGAAGGAAATGATCAATCAATTATCAAAACAGTTGCAATCAATGAATCAATTCAACTTTTTCCTTCTATTTAATTTAATAACATTTAAAAAGTACAACATTAGTGTGTTTTAAATCTCTGATGACTGAATGTTTGAGGGATTTGGACGTCAAACAAAATCTGAAGATTTCACTTTAGGCTCTAAAAACTATTTATGAATAATAATCGAGAAAATACTCAGAAAACTAATCAATAATAGAAATAACTTATCTAGGGCAAGATTTAGAGAAACTGTGAGTTTGTAAGTTAGAAGAGCTCAGTGAATAAAAGAGTCAAATGAAGCTCAAATTTATGTAAAAGAGAAAAAACCGATTTGCTGACTGAAGATTAAAGTAAAACTATAAAGCTTCATATTTCTGTTCTATTTATTTAACTGACAATATTGTTTACTCATGTTTTCAGTCGACTTTTTGACTTGAGTGAAAACCTTCTCCGACAGTTTGCCAGAGTCAGGACTCTCAGGAAACGAGAGGACAAGCACAAAACCAAAGTGAGGTGATAAAGAGTGAGATGAGAGGATGGTGATGACCGGTGACACCAGAGCTGATAAAGACCCGAGGTTTACAGATCGACCGCCAGGGGGCGCTGCTGAGCCTGGAGACGGCTCCTCCGCTGTTCTGAGGCCGATACCGACCACGGTTCGATCACATCCGTCTAATCCACCGATCGGTTCTGAGCTCGTTAACGTTTATTTGAGCCTGAACTCCCTCAGAGCGAGAGTTGAGCTGAAGCCGACTCCGTCGTGAAAACACGTGAAAACACAAGAGCTGAAGAGATTTGATGTTTCTTAGTTATTGGCCCGAATATAAAATCCCTTTTTCGTTCTCTGCATTTACTTTAAGATGTAACTGGAACATTTTTAGTTCCGGACACATGCAGCCAGTTTCCTCCCACCATAACGTCTCGTATGTTCCATGCACATCATATCAAATATTCCACAAATCTTATATCGAGGCCAACTTGTTATTCACCGTGTTTAGTTTGAGTTCAGCTGCTGCTCTGATCTGAAGAATTTAAAGATCATATTAACTTGCGGATGGTTCTAGTTTTGTTTTGTCAAGATGATGATAGTAACGTCGTCCTAATTATTCATGGTCATTTATCTTTTTAACTCGACTGTCAAAGAAAAAAGAAACTGGAATCAACCCCTGACACCCGATGGTCGAGATGACGTGAAGCTGCGATGCTTCTCAGGTAAGAGTTTGACTGAAGTTCACACTTGAGTCGGAAGATTCTTCTCAAACGATAAATCAAATCCTCAAAACTAAAAATAAAAACACATTGAAGAGGTCCAACTTTTTCCCAAACACAACAAGGGACTGAAACAAATGCATCAACCATTCAATACTTACTGATGTGAAACTTAAGTGACTACAGGTGTTAAATGTACGTAAAGTCAAACTCAACATTTAACACCACAGGGTAACTTTAACAACTCTACACAAAGACTACAAACTACGCAAAAGAGCTGTGTCATAAAAGTAAAACACAAACTTGTTTTCTTGATGCTGTTAAATTTCCACCTCGTGTGAAACAGGAAGCGTTTCTTCCTGATTCCACAGCCGTGAGAAAAACACGTCTGAGCCACAGAGTTTAAAAAGAATCCGTTTCATGGTGAACAATGAAGCAGGATAACGTTTAAAGCTCCGTCCAAAATGTGCAGTTTCACCAGCAGAGAGAGTTCAGAACAATCACTGTGGCGAGAGAGAACGAACCACGCCATCGGTGGCGGCTGTGGAAAGCGACCCCATGCATGCACGGGCGGATTGATTAGTGGCAAGCTGCTTTGTTGCTGCTGCTGCTGGTTAATCGACTGACTGATGGAGGAGTCCGCTCCGCTCTCCTGATCAGCCCGTGTCCACTCAGACCAACCGCAGCCACAGTGAGAACATTTACACACCAGTTACCACCTGATTAACGCACAACGCTGACACGTCAACTCACAAAAACTCGTTCAGTGGATTCCTTGCTCTTTGATTTAGATCCCTCTGAAGGGAACAGTTTGATTTGCTCTATTGCTGAAAGATCTCGAGTCCGTGCAGCAAATACAAATCTGCAGCCAGGAACTTAGCTTAGCGCAAAGACTAGAAATGGATGGGGGAGTTAGCCTGACCCTGTCCAAAAGGTAAGAATTCACTCTACTAGAGGTCAATGAACATGTTGCATTATCTTTCAATCTGAATGATTTCACACAGCAACGGTCTGAGGGGGAGACGCCAGGCGACACATCAGAGGCCTCACATCAGATTATGAATCATTAATTAAACGAAATCAGTGTTTACACTAATGTCTTTGTTTAATTAATGATTAATAATAGTGAGCAGGACGATTTCCTTTGTTTTGAGACGTTGCTCAGTTTGTGAGATGCTGTCCGTACATTTCTTCACCTTCGGACAGAGCCAGCCTGGCTGCCCCCCCCCCCCCCCTGGTTCAAGCTTTTGTATTTAGCTTCATATTTACTGCACAGACCTGAGCAGCATGAACGTTTTTTAATCCAACTAACATCCAGGAATCCAAAGTTTAAAACTCACCCTACCAACACATTAGATGATGGTTTGTAAAATCCGATCACATTAATCTGATGATAACCTGTGTGAGTAAATGTACCCAGAGAGTTGTTTCTTTCCCGCCAAGCGTTGTGTTAGTTCAGTGCCAGCAGCCTCACACGTCTGTTGACTTCCACTTGTTTTTCGTTATTTTTTTTTTTTTTTGGCACAGAGAGCGAAAGGCAGTTCAAGAGTCCTACCTTTTGGTAAACCTGAATGACATGTTTCTACAACAGAACCAGACAAAGAAACAGTGAAAATGGCGAAGGAGACGTGAGAGGAGGGAGGGAGGGAGGGGAGGGGAGGGGAGGGGAGGGGGGAAAGGGAGAAGAGGGGAGGCATGAGGAATTTGAACGAGTGAACAAAAATGGGGTGATTGGAATCATCAACAGTGATTTCCCTCATTTTAGGTCAGTCATTGCAGGAGGGACGTCGCTGACCTGGCTGCTGCTGCTGCTGGAGTCTTTAGAAAAATAAATGTTTGGATATTTCTAACACAGTGTAACTGGATATTCTAGGATTTATCAGAAGGATTTACACTAAAGTGAAACTGTGACACTAAACCTCTGATGCATAGTTTGATTTATTCGGTCTAAAACAAAGATCTATTGTTTTTCAGGTCTGATTCACGTTCACACTGTTTTTTTGTTTTTTTTGGGATCTGCGAGAGGTGAGTCACCACAGTTCGCAGCACTCTTAAAATAAAAATAGACACGAGCACAAAAATGATATTTTACCACGACGTTACCGGGTAATGGTCATCGTGTGGTTTCACACGCTCGACACGCCTCTGACCCGGTTCAGACGAGCTCTTAACACCCGCTCTAAACATACGGTGGCCGAGACGTCTCACACGAGCGCATTGATGGAAAACACGAACGCTGAAGCACACAACGGAAACACAATCACGAGCATCTCATTCTGAGCAGCTCGCGACGTTGTGTGTTTCCGTTGTGTGACTCAGCCTTTTTTTTTAGTCCAGACTTCTGCTCGTGTGGTCACATTTATAAACGTACTCCTCTTTCCTACACTGGTTTGTACGTGATCAGTGTGAACCTGAGACCAAAGAAAACAAACACTCAAGCTGAATGAATTAAAACTGTTTACAAAGATCTGTGCTGCGATACGAACGCACAGCTCTGAGCAGCGTCAGGTTTCGTGACTAGAGGTCGAATCGTGGTTTCATTTTTCTCTGGCAGCAACCAGGCAGCGACAGATCAACAATTTAGATTAAGAATAAATCACATTGTACAGGACAGTGAAGTTTTCCCAAAGCATGTAATTAATCATCCTAACTGCACAAGTCATTGTGTTGATTGGATTTAAACTGGAACAGACAGAGTCACAGGCGATTACACTGCGCAGAGCAGGGCTGGAGTCTATCGGCTTTCTATTTCAGTCCTGACGGGGATCTTGACATTTTAAACATTTTAAAAAGTGCATGTAAATGATTTCAGAATACATTTCAGATTAAAACTGAACAGAGCTAAAGCCCAAACTGTGGGGCTTTCCTGGGGTGAGGCGCCCCCCTCGCCTACCTGCGGGTGAGTTTGGAGGTGAGTTTGGAGAACAGGTTGCTGGTTCCACGGCTGCGAGTCTGGGAGAGAGGCGTGGCATCGTGGGAGAGGGTGGGCGAGGCCGGCGGCCCGTTGTACGTGGCCGTGCGGCGGTCTCTCAGCTGGCCCCCGTGGAAGGTGCTGCGGCTGGCGGTGCCTCGGGGGAAGCGGAGCCGGTCGGGCGTGGTGGCGTTGGTGATGCTGTGGGTCGACGCCACCGGGTTCCTCTGGCTGCCGGGCGACACGGCGACGCTGCTGAGGTGGACGGAGGAGTAGGAGGAGAGTTTAAACCCAGACGGGACAGTTTTTTCCACTTCAATGTGCCTAAACTTAAACTTACAGTTGTTTACATCAACTTTTTGAGCGTGATTGAGCCGAAAACTTCACAGAAACTACAACTGACTCTCCTACTGTGTGCAAGGTGGAAAACTGCTGCATCACATGAACTGAAACTTGGCTGCATCATCACCACAGTGCAGGAACACAAGTATACTGCTGCGATGGAAATAAATTACCTTGCAACTCTTGCAGCACATTTCCCTCTTTAAAATTTCAATGAGCAAGAGTTTGTTATTCATACATGGAATTCTAATACCCAGTTAAAGATAAATGAATCTTGCAAGTTAGATGTGAACAGGGCAGGAAATTAAATTCGATTAAAACATTTCAGCAGCTGATGGATTGAGACAACCTGTTTAAACCTTCAGATTAAAGTGCCTGAAGAATAAATCTGATTAAGTTCTTAAATTTTACTAATAAACATTGAACGTTTCAGTCTTGAGACCTTTTGTCTTAAAACTCTGTTTAGTCGCTCTCACTCACACGTATTGAGTTTTATGTTTCACCTACCTTGTAAATCAAACAACATGATTTTATTTTAAAACTTCAATAAAGAGATAAGAAACATCTACTGTAGAATCTAGTGCCACCTGGTGTTTGTTTTCTGTGTGAACAAAACTGAATAAAAGGTTTGAATTGACCTTCAACGCTGCTGCTGCTGCCCCCCCCCCCAGAACATTTCTAGGCCATTGCAAAGTCGGGGAGCAGAAACTACGAGGGATTAAAGTTAGACCAACTTTAAAATGTAAGAGATGATCTGCATCAATTCATCAGCCAAAGATGATGTTGTTAATTTCTCGCCCTGGACATCAAGCTCTTCAGAATGAAAAGAGTGACTTTGTGTCCCTGATCAGTGAAAGAGTCTGAGACAGAGACAGTCTGAGGGTGTTGGGACAGCGTGAGGAGCCGGTGGAGCTCAGGCGTCGTGTTCGCAGACGAACAGGTGAGGGATCCAGGCGGAGAAGATCAGGGTCAGAGTTCACGGCAGAGGATGGAGGAGAGATCAGGAGCAGAGCTGTGACACTTTGTTATTGTGAATGTCTGCAGCGGAGCGGGAGGTCCTTCGGTTTATGGTGGGCAGAGGGATGATGGAAAAATATTATCACACACAAAGTTTAGTAAACGCCTTGTTTGTCAAAACGCGACGTCAGTGTGTGGATATATATTTTTCTAAAATTGTGCTTCCACTCATCAGTGTCTGAAATGAAATGCAGGTAAAACTTAAATCTGTGACAACCGGCTTTGGAAATGTATTATTAAATAGTTTTCTTCTTCACTAATAAGTAAAAAATAATACTGAAACTTTCCTAACTCTACAGGTCCTACATGATTCGGTACCGTCTGAGATTATGTTTGAACGTTTGTCACTATTACAAATAGTTTTTTTTTTATTCGGTCGATGGGGTCGATCGAATCTTGTTGTTCCCAGTTTCCGTCTCCAAAATGTTTAAATTGTTTGTTTCTACAATTTTTAACTTGGAAAGTTCAGCCTCAAAGTTCAAAATGTTCAGTCAGAGTTAACTTCAGTCTTCATTCCACTCGTCCCACAGATCTACATATTCAATGATCACACCAACATGACGTGTGACATATTCTTTATATATATTATTTAATTTGTATTAATCATTCAGTCTAGAGTTTTACCTGCTCTTCTCTGATGAACAGACGTTTCAGACACTGACAAGAAAAACAAGTTGGATGCACATGTTTCAACAGATCGCTGCAGGAAATGTGTCCATAGTTTAGTTGTGGTGTTAGAGTGTGAAGCTGGCTGATGTGTGGGTTAGCGAGGGGCCGGACAAGGGCTGAGACATAAGAGGAGACAGACAGGGGGGTGGTTCGGAGGCCCTGCCGTCTTACTTGGGCGTGCAGTAGTCCAGATCGTAGTAGGAGTGGGGCAGTGTGGCCCAGCCTGCCTGGCAAGCGTACAAAGGGCCGACGGTTTGATACCTCAGCCGCACCGAACTGGACGAGGCACCGAACGCAGCAGCCGCAAAGGCAGAGGAGGGGCTAGTGGCACAAGCCATCTCAGTCATGCTGGTCATGCCACAGTGGGAAAAAAAACCCCATCCCAAACCAAACCACAAACACACAGGCAGAAATGAAAAATAAGAAAGAAAATGGAAAGTAAATATAAGATAGAATGAAAATAAAGAAATAAGATAAGGGAGTGGAACAAATAGAATCTTCTCGAGGGATCCTGTCTGGATTTCTTTCAACAAAACGTCAAATCTGGGCCGAAAGAGTTCAACAAGTTTGATCATTGTATCGTGACGACCACTATTCATATTTACACGTCTTGAATTCGACCACATTCATGGTGAAAGTGAGGATTTCTGTCTCCCTGTTGGGTGGGGAAAATCTAAAACAGATTCCAACTCTAATACTTTGATGAAATTGAAAATATATAAAAAGACGAACTGGCTGGAACCAAAAAAAAAAAAAACACTGACGGGTCCATTAATCTAATATAAAACAGTCCTGTTTTCGATCTGAGATAAAAGCGTCAGCGCCTGAAATCTATTTGTATTAACACAGAATTTCTGTTTTTGTGATGAAACCGTGTTGAAGGCAGGAAGAGGCTCCTCTCACCTGTTCTCCTTCCCGTTGGGGATGACGGAGAGACGGTCCGTGTTGTTTCTGTCACTGCAGACATACGTGTTCCTCCTGGTCATCCCTGCCGACGCAGTGTTGTTCTGCAGAGCAAGAGAGAAGCAAGAAAATCTGACGTAAGACACGATGATCTGTTTTTTGATTTTGAGAGACTGTCCTGTTTGAGCACGAAGTTGAGTTAAACAAGTGTGAGACTGATGACTCGACTCACACTCGGGCCGGTGGTGGCGCCTTTCCTGCGGTCAGGGATGTCGGCCTTGTTGGGGTTGTTGGCGTTGCCCAGCAGAGGGCTGGCGGGTGGAGCGCCGCGGCTCCCCGGGGTGCTGGGTTTACGCAGCTGGACGCCTCCTTCCTCCTTCACGCTGTTCTCCGCCGTGGTGGTTTGACTCCTCTTCGGATGAGCCATCCCTGGAGGGACGTTTTGACCAACTACAGCGCGAGACAGGAAAAACAGAGGCAGATGTGACTTAAAGATGCTGTTTATACCTCTGGCGAAATCAAACACGGAACAGGCTTTTTTAAATTTAAGTGCTTTGATCTAAAATGAGACGACCTACATTTGGATTAAGAATAATTCTGATACTGATCTGAAGTGATGGGCGATGGATCTTCAGCACATTCGTATATTTTTAAAGAGAGTTCTGGGATTTAGATAATTGCTGAGAAAAAAAAAACCTCTAATATTTGAATGCATGGAGCAACTGGAAATGGTTATGTAAAGTATTTATCAACGAAGGTGAATAAAACTTTATATACTTTACAACATACACTTCCACTTAAACAGCTTTAATTTAACATTTAGTTTATCCATCCATCCATGTTCAGCATGTTGCTGCTGTCTGGGGAAATAAATATACACCTACAAGGTACAAGGTTCGTGCCTCAGCTCTGAGTAGCTATTTAAGCTGCAGGTCTCTCCGACAGGAAGCCGTACAAACTGAGGTTATTGACAAAGCATTATATTACAACGGGCAGCACTGAGCGGTGCAAATAAGCCGAAGGTTAAAGCGCCTCCACCATGTGACGGGTTTGATTTTTACTGCTTTTAACGAGCTACAGACACAAACCACCCTTTACCAGGAGGGAGAGACGGCAGGTAAGAGCTGTGGGCCGGTTTCATTCATTCAACCCAAAGGAACAAAAACGTGTCAAATGAAAAATGATGTTTCCACATCGATGGTTAACAGGAGGTCGTCCTCCTCACCTTGTTCACTGTAGCGCCTCTGTTTGTGGTTGGAGGAGACGCTCCTCTGCACCTTGAGGTGGGAGGGTGACTGGCCGTTGAGCTCACTGTTCGGTCTCGGTTTGGCCAGAGAGAGGTTACTGCTGGAGGCCGACTCGCTGGGCTCCAGCTGGACGACACGCAGACAGATGGAGTCAAAACACAAAAAAGTACATGCCCCAAGTATTGTAAGATTCTATATTCCTACATTTTTTGGATTTTTGAAGGCCGATGCAGATACAAGGGAGTTAAAATAAAATAATGATATGAATGCATTTGAGATTAGTACCTCAGAGGCCTTCCTGCCCAGCAGCAGGTAGGTGGCTGTGATCTCATCATATTTCATCTTGGCCAGAGAGTCCTGGATCTTCTCCAGGTTGTAGCCCATCCCCACCATCACATCTGCAACAACAGAACATTTTTAACACTTTATTCACATAAAATAAAAAATCATAGGAGCATATTTGGTATTTCTGCAGAAAAATGACTCAACCATCAAACCATCGACTTCTCAATCTAAATCCATAGTAAATACTTTTGCTGGTGATTGGTAAAGATGAAATATGGTAAATCATGAATATAAACTGTGTGTGTGTAATGAATCAGGCACTAAAAATCAGCCCACTGCCTCTCGTTCTGCCTCCATCACTCAGAAGCAGAAAGATGCTGGTTGGAGAGGTTGTATGAGAGCACACATGTGCGGGTGGGTGGACACGCACGCACACACACGTGACTTTGACATGTATCTCTCCCCAGCTGACGTATGTAGCAAACGCAGCAGGTGAAGGAGAGCCGCGTTTCCTGCTGCAGCTCCAGCCTTGAAACATTTATCTCTGCGTGTGGTTGAGTGTGTCTTCGTGTCCCCTCCCCCCCCACACATAATGCATCAGGTGAAAGCTTTTATGATTTCATTTCCACACGGCACTCCCCCTATTAATTAAAAAAAAAAAAAAAACTGTTCTATCTGAAACGTGGCAGAGAACGGCTTTAAGCGATATTCAGAGGTGGAGTCTGACTAAAAGGATTCACGAGCTGCACAGTGATTCGCTCAGATCATTTCTGTCCCAACAACAGAACAGGTTTGTCGTTGTGTGGTCAAACTCACCGAGTGACGGCAAAGCATCTCAGTGTTTTAAGCTTCCAACTGGAGCAGACGTGTTGTAAGTTGCAGGTTCTGCAGACACATGACTGCTGTGTACAATCAAGTATCAGTAAAGGTTTTTTTAATTTGTGGTTCTCACACGTTGGCCGTTGTTTAAGTTATCTAATTGAGTCACACTCGAGTCACGGTGTCGGTCTCCTTTACCTGGAAACTGACACTGACTCTGCTGTGTAACGTCAGACTACAGAACTGAGACGTGAAGGGGGGGGGAGAGAGAGAGAGAGAGAGAAGTTGTGAAACGAGCTCTGCCGCTGTCACCAGGCAGAATCTGTGATAACCATCTCTTCTCATCTATCTCTGTCACTCCTTCATTTTTCTCACTTACCCTCCTCCTCAGAAACTTCTTTCTCTGCTCCTCATCTTCTTTTCATTACACGGTCTTAAACTGTAGCTTTACTTACAGGAGACATATTTTATTAGCTCTGGTGAAATTCCAAGGTTTAACCAAACATCACTTTAGTTAAAAGTGTTGTTTTTGCATTATTAGAATTAGCAGCTCCTGTTCTCGGTACGACTGTAGATGCACAGACAACTCTCACTGAACTTCTTTAACAGAAGAGGAAATGTAAAAATGCAATGTTTCTCAGAGCAAGTGAAACCAAAGTATATTAATATATACGTTTCATGCAGTGCATCACGATCTGACTGAGTGATGACTTTTGTGGAAAAGGCTTTTGTAATGGCCTCCAGAATAATGAGTTAAATTATCAAGGAGCAGAGTAAACGTTTAATTCATGGTTTTTCATTGGGGGGGGGGGGGTTTATGGGATATTTTATTTGCGTTATTCAGAATTCCAAAGACCTGTCTCTCTCTCTCTCTCTCTCCTGTTCCCTTCTGCGTCTTTCTTTTCATCCCACCTCCTCTTTTTTTTCTTGGTTGATTGTGAGCTTGTACTGACACATGTGCACCAACAGACAACCCCAGCTGCTGTTATATAAGCGCTCACCACCCCCCCCCCCCTTTCCTTTTAAAGCTTTCATCCTGATCTCGATGGGGAGGCTTCACTCTCTTGTTGTCTCTTTGCATGCAGCTCATGTTTATTTCTTCATCATCACGTTTCATCTTTTAAAACTCTTCAGCACTGAAATAATGAGACCGCCTCTGTGTTGTAAAGCTGTGATCACGCTAACGTTTAATGCATCACGCGTTCTCCACACCCAAAACGGCACAGATTGATTTTATACTGTGATAAATGAAAAGCAGAGGACGCTGCCTTTCGTGCACTTTGCTGATTGCACAACAGGGCATCACGAGCCCGATGGTCAGAACGCTCTATAATAAGGTGCAGTTACGTGATATTTCTTTACCTGCAACATCAGCAGTTTGACATGAATCCGTCTGGTTTTTACTTTACCTATTCTCTTCTGATCCGTGATGTCAAGCTCAGGTTCAGTATAAGGCTTCAGCTCGTCCTCCTCAAATCCGGCATTGATCCATCGATCCTTCATGATTTGCTGCAAAGACAGATTGAGACAGTCAGAGCCTGAGTGTCACTGGGTGTTCGAGGCCGATCTGCTGTTATTTAACTGTTACACAGACATGACATTCGTTTACTTTCACATAAACACAGACATGCAGCAACACTGGAGATAATAATCTCTTCAAGAAACTTTCTTCTTCGATTGGTTTCTTCGTTTTCTCAGCGGCATAAAGTTCTACTTACTTTTCGGCCGACATAAAAAGCTATAAATGCTTAAACAGGCTTATAGGAACCCGTCCTTTAATTATAATCCCCGGAGGAAGTGAGTTCACATTCTTTCTCGCAGTTTGTCATTTCTATTTCACCTCATCTTATCACAGAACAGGACACGACTGTGAAATCGCCACGTTCGTGTTCTCGTTGACAGCGGCTACCACGGCGAGGAGAAGCTTCACAGCGGAAATGTGCGGTACTAAAAAACAGCAGATGTTTCCATCGTGCATCATGCTGGTTCACCATCATTGATTTCGACCAGCATCATAAACTTGAAGAGGAAAAGACGAGCAGCTCGAGCTGTCCGATCACAGTCTTCCATATCCGGCGGCTCTAAATCACCAGTGTGGTTTACTCCTAACATGTGTAAAGTTTATGTTCTGAGGACAGATGGTGCTCCAGGGGAAGCTTCAGCAAAAGTCAAGTACCTGCAGCCGCAGCAGCAGCTAATGAGACGACCCTCGTCTCACAGCCCTTTACTGTGTCATGTTCAATGTGGATGAGACGTCCTTGTTTGTTACAGCTGCTGTTCAATGACGTGGACTGTTTGCTGTGTGGCTCTGTTGTGAGTGTGATGGGACGTGGTTTGTGGGGACGTTAAACTGAATTTATACTTTTAACAAACTTCATTGAGGTTGTTGTGTAACTTGGCTTTTACTTTGTAAAGGAGGCATCGTTAAAGGGGGTTGATGAAGCTTCTTACAAAAATGTGTACAACAAAAAGATAACGAATATCTCCCAGTGGAAAAAAAAGCGAGGTCATACAAGTAGAAGACACCGACAAAGATGTCAAGAGCGTTTGCGGTGATAAGAGCTGTGGACGGAGTCTTGGGTGTGGGATAATACATCACTTCCTGTCTCTGTCTGTTGCACCCAGCTGTGCAGAAAACCTCCCGCTCTGTTGTGCATGTGTGAAAGGAAAACTCGGGGTAAACTCTCAATTCTCCAGATTTTACCCAGAGGTCACGTCTGAAAACGGCTTTGGAGAGAAAACTGTGTTGCAGCCGCTTCCATATTGTTCTTTGCTGCAGTTTCTTTGTTTTCAAATTTATTTTTTTCATTTGCACCTGATCAATTTGCTGTCTGGGTTTTAAATAAGGATGGAGCCAAACTAATTATCTCCGACTGGCTCTGATGTAACCAGAGCTTATACAAGTATCCAGGATGAGCATGTGGCATCTGAGGTCAACACACATGACCTCCAGAGTCAAACCCACATTTACATGAATTCATTTAGAGCCACAGAATTCAACTAGGAGCAATTAAACGTTCTCACAAAAAGAAAATTAAAGATGGAAACTGGCTCTTTGCTAAAATGGCCCATCAAAGAAAATATATATGTTAAGTGCGTCTCTAAACCAGATTCCACTCACTGCCAGAAGTACTTCAGAGCAGACATTCAGTTTTTTGTGTGAATGGTTATTCTGCTGGCTGTCAGGTTGAACAGCAGTTACAGCTAAAGATAATCATTAACACTTCTCAGGCAATGAGATCAGCACTGTGATTGATCTGTGGAACAACGCTCCGTCCTCTCGGCCTCTTACATAAAACACTATTTTAATTTCAGCAGATGCTCTCGGTGAAATTAAATGTCTAAATGTTTCCGCTATCCGATTATGAATTGTGGAAAATTCAACAGTGATTTCTTAGAACCAAATGTTAATCTTGTGTATGTCACAACATTTTGACGCATTGTGACCTTGAGCAATGACTCCATCTCCAACCAGGGAGGACAATTTTGGTACAAACACGTGAATGATGCATTATTCATGGTTACAACATCGGAAAGAAGAGAGGAGAGAGTGGGCTGCTCGCACGCAGAAAACAGGACACTGTGGGCGTCGGCGGAGATGATGCAGGGGGGAGGTACAGGGACCAGAATGAGGGGAGGAGGGGGGGTTGTTGAAGAGAGTGGAGGGTAGATGGCATTCTCCGATGGTGCAGACGTGCTGGGGGAGAGTGTTAAGAACTAAGAGGTATATTTACATTTTCTGCGTCCTCCCTCACCTCGAGAGTACCCCGCTTGGCCGGGTTGAGCACCAGGAAGCGTTTGAGGAGGTTCTCGCAGTCTGTGGACATGTAGAAGGGGATGCGGTACTTTCCTCGCAGCACACGCTCCCGCAGCTCCTGCAGGAAGTCGAACGACAAGCAGGAGGTTAGAAAGACACTGGACGTGACAGGTTTGAGTCAGATTTTCTCACTGGTGAACATGTGGACAACCTGGAGAACTCAGACTTGTACACAAAGGAACAGACACAGTTCACTATGGCAAAAGCAGAGATTTTCCCACCTTGAGGTTCTGTCCATCGAAGGGCAGCGAGCCGCTGACCAGCGTGTACAGAATGACTCCCAGGCTCCAGACGTCCACCTCCGGCCCGTCATACTTCTTCCCCTGGAAAAGCTCCGGCGCTGCGTACGGAGGAGAGCCGCAGAATGTGTCCAGCTTGTTGCCCATAGTGAACTCGTTGCTGAAGCCGAAATCTGCGATCTTGATGTTCATGTCTGCGTCTAGGAGCAAGTTCTCAGCCTGCAGACACACAGATGAAGGTCAAAGGTTCTGGTCCTCGTTTGTCTTTCCAGTTAATACTCTTTTTAGTGTAGTTCTAGTCTGATGGACATTAAAACTGTCTTTCTGACCTCTGAATGTGATTGATTCAGTTTCACCAGCAATTCAAACTGAAGATTCCGCAGGTTCAGGGTGATTTTGATAACAATGAACTGAATTAATGACAAAAGTTATTAAACAGGCTTTTTTTTTATATCCTTAAAAGTCTAATTGTGGAATTTTATTAAACAGATTAAAACTCATGACCTTCAAAGAAAAGTTATTTCATTCTTGGCTGTACAAGAAAATGTGTCACATGCCACCTACATGTGTAAATCATTAACCGGTTATAACAGAGGTACTGATCAAGTCATCTAGCTCATTGTTAAGAAAGATAATATAGAATATATAGAACCAGTAAAAAATCCTGATCACGTTTGGTCAAGAGACTAAAATGAATCAAATCATTTGTTCCTCGTACAAACCTACAGAAATTCTACTTTAAACATTAAACAGAGAGAAGCAGCAAATCAGGACACAGGGACATTTGTGTTTTTGTCAATCAATCAATGTTTGAGCTGCAATTTTCACTTTCACTTGATCTCAGAATGATCGGTTTGGTTTGAGCTGATCTAATGAAACTGAAAACGTCTCCTGTGTGAATGAAACTCTTCAAAGATTAAGCGAAGACTTCAAGACAAACATCTGCTCACTTGCAGCTGTGGGCGAAGGACTAATTAGGGAGCCGAGACAAAACGAGCAGAAAACTCCATCGAGCCGGAGGATTGGAGCGACATGCTGAGAGGCTTTCCGCTGCATGAGGGGTAAACAACACTCATCCACTTTTGGCTGGATACTATGGAGACCCAAAAAAACAATAACGCCTCTTCTCACAAGAAGTGGCTTAAAGTCGAGGAAGGCACGTGTTATATTGTGCATACGAAGGAGGCGCAGGGAGAAGAGGCTGCTGCTCATGTCCCCCTCCTCGTGGATCATTCATGAAGCTCTACAGAGGACACAGTGTGGACGTACAGCTGCCGACAGAGCAGACGCACGGGCTTCTCCTCGTCGAGTGACGCAGAGATAAAAATACAGAAGCATCAATATTTATACCTGGAGAAGAAAAGTGCGTCACGGCTGTGAAATGGAGGCGGTTCATTTACACTACAACCGGTGATGTGGTGGAGAACATGTGAGCAGTTTAGAGTTCTGACTGCTTGTATGTTTGCAGACGCTCCCCCCCGCTGACTGTGGCAAAATGTCAAGGTGGTCGTACAGCTTCGGCTAAGTCGGAAAACGGCAAAGCAGGGGCTCATTAGCAGCATCTGCAGTGTTTTGGTATTAAACGCGCCGTGTTAAAGTCACCAGTGGGAATATGGGAGTTAAGATGAGTAATAAAACACATAACACTGACGTCAGCTCTCTACACCGTGACCTTTCCATCCAATATGAGTCAGAGGAAATTATCCTCAAAAGGTGGAGACACTGCTGATTTTAAACTCTTGATTATAGTACTTACACAGACTAAATGTGGATTTTAGTTCTATAATGCAAATGAATACATGAAGCTCCTGCGGCCTGGAAACATCAGGCAGCAAATATATATATATATAACTTCTGGACACCGTTGATACTAAAGATAAATTAGTTATTTCTTGTTTGAATTTTTAAATTGTCAACGTTGCCAAAAGACTTGAATCCCAAAGAAATCTGATGATGTAATGACTACAAATGATATTCTTTTGAACTTCCCATCATGCAGCTGCATTATGAAAAAGGTTCTGAGATACTTTTCTGCATGATGAGACTACAAACCAGCGTGTTTCTCCTGAACTCACCTTGAGGTCTCTGTGAACAATGTGCTTCTGGTGACAGTACTGCACCGCCGATACAATCTGCACAAGAGAAAAGATGAGTTTAGTAAATGACTTGTGCCGTGTTCTCAGACAGTGCTGAAGGATGTGGTAGAGGAGGATATGAGGTCGACACAGACGGCGAAGATGTGAGCTTCCTTTGTGCAGAACTACTGCACATTCATCCGCCTCTCAACGGTATAGAAAAGCTGTTATGCATATTCAACATTGGTGCATATATGGTTCCTAAATTTACATTGATCAGTGCTGATCTGCATATTGTGTTCAAATTATTCTGGACGAGGTGTTTTAATTTACGAAGACCGTTAAACTAAACATTCACACTTTTCAACTCGATAGAGACACAATCACAGGTTAGGGCTCATTCATGGTTAATGTTAAGATTCATAAATGAAAAATGACGGAGCGCTCTGTCTGTGCAGTACCTTAAGAATTTGTGAGGGGGCAGTGGAGCCAATGGTTCAGGAGAAACATCAGAGGAAGACATTTCAACAATGGCAGAACTTTTTTTGACGTGAGACTGAGTTGGTAAGAAAACTTCAGGCATCAATATAATTTTACTTTGCCCGTTAAGAACGCGGCCATTTTCTCTACCGAGGAGGCAGGGTTTATGACCTAAACTACAGCCAGCCACCAGGGGGCGACAGAAAAGTTTTGGCTTCTCTTCATGATGTCCATCTTTACTGAGAGTGTCTCAAATGAAAAAGTTACAGTACAATTCTTGATTAACACTGAATAACTTTGAATCTCAGTTTCTTTGGCTTCTTCAAACATGAGTCAGTGACTTTGGACTGTGTGTGAAAGTCATTCAGGGATAATTGGAGGCAAGTTTGGACGTCTCTCGTCTGTCTCTGCCACGGCAGCGTCTCTGTGAGGACTGAAGACAGGGCGGCCTGTTTGAGGCTGAACCGGGAGCAGAGGTGTGAAACCAGAACACTGCAGGGGAAGAAAGCTGGGTACCTGTCTAAATTTAGCCCTGGCCTCTTTTTCCTTCATTCTTCCATGTGCAACCAGGTAGTCGAACACCTCTCCTGCAAGAGAGCGAAGAGAGAGAGAGAGTCAGACGAGGAGGCAGGTGTTGGAAAGTGAGGAAGACAACGGATGAGAAGTGAGAGAATAAAGAAAAGACAGAGAGAAACTAAAAGTCAGTCACAAGCAGACAGAAATAACTTCATGATTAAATTTTCATCGCAGCTGCACCATCACCCATGTGCATGGTTCCAGGGGGTTTCTTGACCATACTGAGCCGAGTGCGGAGCTGCTTCTTCCACACTGAGCGTCTCCTGGAGGCACAAAGCTGCTGCCGTGTGCTCCAGCAGCAGACTCTCTCTCTGCGGCCCACACTTCAACACTTCCAGGCAAAACGTGACCACGCTCGCTCATGTGCTAATTGAACTCGAGTGGTTTGTGTGTGTGTGTGTGTACGTGCATCCATATTAATGCTGACAAAAAAAGAACACGCAAAAAAAAAAAAGAGAGAAAAGAATACCACAAAGACGCCTCCCCCGCTTTCCCTGAATCCTCGAAAACCCTCCCACTCTCCCGGGGCTGACCTGCAGAGGCGGTCAGAGCGTTTCTGTACTTCACGGCTTCGGAAAAGCAACAATTCATCACCGGGCTCTGACTCAACTGCCAAAGACAGAATGTGCCCGATAACACTTTACAAGTCGGAGCTGCAGGAAAACATAGTGTGCTGAACATGGAGGTGAGATTAGGGATCAAAACCAGGAAGGAGGAGAAGATTGGCAAGTGGAAGATACTTTGAGTCTCAGCGGGACTTGTATTGGAATCATTTAAACACGAGGTCACATGGTTCACGTTACAGCAATACCCTGATACCCTCGTGTGCATGACAGTATTCAATCTGCCCCATCACTGCTAGATGTGACTAAATCCCACAAACTGAACTTTTTGAATCTGATGTAATTAGATGATCATCGTTCCCATCTCGGTGGTAACTTGATTTGCTCCTCCTCCTCCTCCTCCTCCTCCTCAAAGTGGTTTCATCTCCACTTGGCTCAGAATTGGACCTTTCCAGGAAATCAAAGCTGAAATGGGCCTTTTGAGGCCCTGGGTGTGTGACACTGCATTAAATAAGAAGCCGTAGCGCTCACAGACGACATATTATCGTGTTTCTGCTACGTTTTATCGAGGGTCATACCCGGTATCCTCCTCACTCAACGATAAACACACCAACACTAATCAGACGGTATTAGGACACGTACAGTTTCTAAAGTTTACTTTGTGTTCGTTTGATACGCTATACTGAATATGCTGCTTTCATGTTCAACTTAAGGACTCAACATGTATTTAAATGTATAGATTTCCTTAAATAAAAAAACTTCAGATTGTTCCTTTAAGGAGGAAGTAGAACCAGTATACACACCGCTCCCGACGTCTCTAAATTATTAACACACATTTATCACATTTGGTGTTAATAAATTATACCTGGACCCTGGGAGCTGCGTGCACTGTGCTGACAGTGTTCACAGCTTCATTTACAGTCAACTGGTTTGTCATACTGTTTTTCAGTTACACAAACAAAAGGTGACTTTTGTTTCCGTCTCACCTCCGCTGGCGTATTCCATCACCAGGTAGAGCGTCCTCTCCGTCTCAATCACTTCAAAAAGCTTGACTGTAAGAGGGACAAACAGGAAGAGAGGAGAGGGGGGAAATTATAGATTCAATTATGTCTAAAGACGGGAGAGATTCAGACAGAGGCAGCAATGAATTCATGAACACGAGAAAAATGTTTCCAAACAGACACAACCAGAGAATCAGAGGAGAAAAGTGAAGTCACGTGGATCTGTGCGGATGTCGTGATCATCCGAGCGCAGCATCGAGCCGAGCAGCGTTCAATATTTACTGTACTGTCCAAAACATTTTTTTTTTTTTCAACCGCAGTGAGTACAGCTCGAAGATATAAAAGATTGTGTGATGATCGGCAGAGGGCTGCACTGCTAAATATAGACAAGGTGGGAAGGAAGACAAAGACGGAGTATGTGAATGTGTGTATGAGCTGGGAAGAGCTTAACATCATCCTGGTAATTATAATCACATTTCTTCAGGAGAAAACATATGAGCAAAGGAAATTAAAAGTAATTAGGGAGGAATCCAGATCTGCTACCAACGTCCTGTATGTGATTTATTTACTGGGTACGCCAGGATAAAACTTGTTTTCACAAATAAAACTATCTTCCTCCCTTCGTGGAGATGATATTGTTTGGATTCTTTACATCCACCTAAGATTCTTTACATCCACCTAAGAGGTTTTTCTCCTTCAACGTTTTTTTGACATTGTCAACAATTTCCCGGAAAATAATTAATGGATCTTGATGAAAAAAAAAGAAACAGGCATATTTAAGGAACTGCTTTCTGTGTGTATGTGAGATCTGGTGTGGATCCAAATAAAAATCTGGACCTAGAGGATTTAAATGTGGTTTTAAACTCTTAACACTTTCATCATGCTCTAAAGTTCTCGTTTGGACATTTCCTTACAATTTATTTATTAAGTAATAAACAATCTGGGACATTCTATTCTATTATTAATTCAACATCACATGCATTTCAGAAAATGTCGAGCGTGTTTCAGGGACAGATCGTAGGGGGCAACGGCACGGGGACGCTTTAAATATACAGATGAACTCGTGGCTGGCAGCTTGTTGGTGTTTCATGTGACCGTCCACTCACAGAAAGGTCAAAGGTCACAGCCCCGCATGTCAAGCAGAGACTGAACTCTTGTGTTCTCACTCACCTATATTCGGATGATTCAAGATCTTCATTATTCTAACTTCTCTGAAGAGCTGAAACGAAAAACACAGAAAACAGACTTTTATAATTCTGCAGGTTTCAAGATTCAATAATTAAGAATCGTTTCAACATTTTAATATTTAAGAAACAGAAGAGCAGGTAAATCAATAGTGTGTTTTATGCAATAGTTTGACGGTGGTTTAATATCAGATTTTCCGTCCTGCTCTCGTATCTTAAAGACAATGAGACACATGATCAGGTTTCCCTGTCGACATTGCAGTTCTTCTCCTATTCTTAGACAACAGATCATGTGTTCACAGAACACTGGTCCTTGTGCTCGCCGATGTCAAATCATTAATCAAGAAAATGTGCTCATTTTGCTCCGCTGCCACGTCGTCGCGACAACAGGAGTCCCCGAAGCACAGCGTCGGTTTAAACCAGCCTGAGAGATGCTCGTGCAACCCCCGACTCCCCACCAACAGGATGGAGCAGAGGATCTGAATCAAGTGAAACATGCAGCGTCACATCTTCCCACCTAACGCTAATAATAACACACTTAGTCGCCACACGCTCTGCCCCCCCGTCAGCAATCAGAGTGACCAGACAAGCAGATTTGTAACGGCCAAAAATGCTTTTTAGTCTTCCGCTGTACGAGGCATAAAAAGATCTGAGTGCTATTTATTATTGATCCGCTGTTAACTACACCTCACCCTCTTCCCTTCCATGAAAATATAAAAAGGCATCAATACTTCATGAGGCGGGAGCAGTCAGTGTACTGGTTAGATGACTGACGAACAAATCGTCGAGCTGGGCTGCCAGAAAACACACGACCCGACAGCAGAGTCTGTTTCTGCTGTATTCAGATAATCAGAGGCAAAAATCGTGTCTTAATTTATTATCTGCTTTTAAAGACATGTTTTAAAAGCATCGTTAAACAAGGAAACATTATTAAAAGGTGGTTGAATCTTTATAGTAAATGTCTTACAAAGTGTGACTGAAACATCTTTGGGACATTAGATTATTTGTGTTAATTTTGCGAGCTGATGAATCATAAACTTAATTTCTTGAAATAAACAACCTCGGTTAATCGAACCCGGGAGCCTGAGTGACAGTAAACAAAAGTTTGATGGCAGAATCGCACCCACGGCTCCTCAGACCTGTAGATCCACTGACAGAGCCTCCCGTCCCGCTGTCTCCCTGACAGTCACACAGATGGTGACAAACAGCAGGTGATGTTTTCACATTCAGAGTCGTGCTGCTCGCTGAGCTGCACCAGCACACAGTTACACATCTCTGCTCGACAGAGGGGAGAGGCATGTCGTTTCAGGCCCACTCATGTTTCACAGTGTCCCTCCTGCACTCCGGAGCGGGTCTGTAACTTGTGTAATGCGTCCACAGCGTCCACAGCAGTGCAGATGTTTCATCCTAACAGTCTCACACGCTTCACGGTAATTTTCTAAAAACAACACGGACCAAATGTCACGAATGAAACGTTCAGACTCTGAAAGCTTTTCAAAGAATTCTGGGAAATGTAGTAAACTAGTAACTCGAAGTAAAGCTAGATAAATGGTCAAGTGTTGAAATTAAAAAAAAAAAAGATAATATATATTTGTCTACTTTATTTAATTTCATTATTTTAAACTATACATGTTATATTTTTACCTCGGGGAAGGTCGTTTTATTTCACCCATGCGTGTCTCTGTAAGTTACCTGTTGATGATGTGTGTCCAAGATATTTGTTGATCTAAGAATAAAATTGAATACTTAACGTGTGCTTGTCTAGAAAACAGCTCCACCTCTGTCTGTGTCACTGGAAATCACATGATTCCACATTCGTAGCTTAAACAATCGAATTCTCAGAAGAACGCCGGCGGTCAGTTGATAATGAGATAATAAATCTAATTTATTTCCTGTTTCAGAGACAACTGAAGGGTTAATTATGAACTCAGGTCAGCGAGGCCTTCGGGATGGAGCCGACCGGGTTGGAAGCCATGTTAACAAACTGAGCCAGGACGAGTCTGGCTGTTAACGAGAAGGAGGAGGAGGAGGAGGAGTGAGCCTGAGGTCTCCTGCTCTCCGCCTGTGATTCTGCTCCGTCCATCATTATACTGAAAATCCTCTCCTGAGTTCTCAGAGCACGGTGGGATAAATCAGAGCAGGTTTATCGTGTGGACACAGGAAACACCGTCCCTGCTGCTCAAAGACACAAACTGTCGAACCTACAGACGAACGACAGCTGAGCCGCGGGACAAATGTGATCAGGACCGTCCGTCTGTCGGTCAGAGACGAGCATACGAATGTCTCTTTTTTAAAAAACTCAACGACTGCCTCTTTCTTTTTTTTGGCACAGCGTGTTCTGCCCTACATAGCAGATACGAGCTTTCCAACACAAACAAGTATATGGGAATACTTTGTCAGGTATGTTATGCAGTAAACAGAATTAGTGGGGAAACAGCGAGAGAGATGATTCACTACATGATACAACCATTACGTCGTGGACATAAACCTGCTGGGGATCCAGTCATACCACCGCCGTGATGCACAGCTGTCCCGATTACACAATCTGCCTCGTGATCAATAACACGGCACCTTCAGGTGGAGTGACACGTGGTGCTGGGGGTGAGATCACACCTACAGTTGGGTTTCTGGGAGTGCACATCTTCGAGGAAACTCTCCCCTGCTGCGAGTTCCTGTTTAGGTTAACTTGACCTCAATTACAAGTGATGTGAGGCTTGTAAACAAAAACCCGTGGGCTCATTTACTTGATGTTTTTTGGTTTCACCCCACCAGGTTAGAGGCTTCGAGTTGAGTCACAACTAATCAGATTACGGCCCCTGTAACATGTTTTTTTTTGAGCCGTAATTGACACCAGAGTTTTTTTCAGTTCAGAGAAAAATATCCAGGCTGCAGTTTTACCCTCAGCACAAGTTTCAAAGCAAGTTATATGTTATTGTTCTCATCTGGACTAACAGTTGAACCAGAGGGAAAACAATCTGTGGTTCAAATTCACGGCTCCAATCACAACAAGGTTTGGGCACTTTAAAGAAAATGGGGTTTTTCTCAGCCATTAGAAGTTATGAGCTCACAAATGAAGAGAAAGATTAGACGCTGCAGGTGCAAAGAAAAGAACCAAACTCAAACTTTTCTCTTGCCGGTTTAGTAGCCGAGTAGAACCCAAATGTTTTCTGCCTTTTGTTTAACTTGTTGTTTTGTGTCCAAGTCATGAGAAGTTCAATAAAAGAAAGATTTTGAAAAGGTAAAAATAGTCACAAGGAAAGAAAGCAAAACCCTTATTGAGAAAAACAATCATCAGATAATTCTGATTGATGTTTTTAAGCAGAAATAAAAATGTTCAGGGATATTGGGATAAGAATTTCTTTAAATGACTTTCTGACCTTTGTAGTGTTTGTTCTGTAAAATATAAATATACATGTTGGCACACTTTAACAGAGATACTATCGGGGTGTCTCTATATGAAGGTGTAGCAGGATGCATTAGACTATGGCAGCTGCCACATTCTGTGTAAATAAGAGGAAACACTGAACACATTGAAAACCACAACAGTGAAGACGCCTGCAGAGAAATTAAAGATCAAAGTTTGAGCTCAGCAAATAATAAGCACACTTTATTTTATTATTGTAAGATGTCCAGTGTCGTCGTGAGTTTATTACCCGGTGAGAAATGTTCCACACCGTGAAACCCCTCGTACTATAAATGACGTCAAAGGCTTTAGTAACTGCTCCTCAACCACTTAATGAAAAGAAAAACCTCTGTGCAGGGGACAGAGGTTCAGCCGTCTGACCGACAGTGTTTACATTTAATCAAGAACTCCAGGTGTCACACTCCCTCTCTGACCCTCGACCTGGACGACAACAAGGAAGCTGCGCAGGCTGAATGAGGACAGAGAGGGAGGGACGGAGCGGGAGAGGGAGGGACGGAGCGGGAGATGAGAGTTCGCCAGGAGCCGGTGACAGATGTGAGCGTCGACTCAGCTCCTCCGAACTATTAAGAACAGAGGCTGAAAATAAACATTTAGGCTTCAGAGACGATATCCCCCGCTATCAGCCTCTCGCCAATTCCTCCCGTTACATAACAGGTCAGGACACAACGGTGCCGGCTCCGGTGCAGGTTGGCTGCTTCTACAGAGCAGACTCAGAGGACAAATCTAAAAAGGAAAACAATCCTTTCAAACTCGTCTGAACCTGAACACAACATCCAAATCATGAGCCGGTGATGTTCGACACTAATCAACCGAGGTCTTTAAATAGCACAAGGAGACATTTGCTATTTTCTATTCATCCTTTTGACTACTTATCCAAGAAGAGACCAGAACAACACTGCCACAGTATTCTCTAACTTCCACAGCATCACTATGCATTTGGTTTCTGATGGTGCTGTGTTGTAAATCTTTAAAAACAGATTGATATCAGCAGAGGTAAGAGTTTTACTTTCTGTGACTTTGTTGTGGTTCTTTCATCACCATCCTCCTCCCCCTCCTCTACCTCCTCCTTCTATTCAGGTCAGGTCATCTTCAGGACGCCCTCAGATAAGAAAAACTGTTTATCTCGAAAATAGTTTCATGCAATTTAAGTTCAGGTATTTCCTGATTTCCACAGGCTTGGAAAACCCAGAACCATGTGTCATGTTATATGTTCACTCTGTACAACAAAATGCTGTGGTCTCGAGGGGACTTACTTTGTTATCCAGGACCAGCAACTTTCTTAAGACTAAAAATAAACTTTCCCCCTGTTTCCAGATGTTATGCTAAGCTAAGCTAATTGGCAGCTGGCCTTAGCTTCGTATTGACCATGATGATATCAGAGTGAACTCAGAACTCAGCATGAAAGCAAATGAATACGTTTCTAAAAATAAATGAAAGTATTCCTTTAACATCAGTGACCTTGTAGAAATTAACAAAGATTAGGAACCAGGCTAGATGCCTGTAACAAAAAAAAAAAAAGCCACAAATCAAATCCATGTCAGGATTTCCTTCAATTCTGAATCTCCGTCTCGCCGACCAGGAGAGAAAGAGAGAAAACGGAAAGGCAGCCTTTAAATAGAAACACGTGACGGGAATGTGAACATTTAATGTGTCAATCAAGAAAAAGTACTGAGACGTATTGTAGTTTCTTTTTTCAAGCCTGTTCCAATTCCTCAAAATAACCAACAAAGGGAATCTTTGGAACGACAGGAAAAATAACATGACGAATAAAGACAGATTTTTTTTCCTTGACTTTAACAAAGCACTAACCTAAAAACAACAAGCACGGCCGACAAAAGCCTCACGCTTTGTGTTTGCGTGAACGGCGCTGTCATGACTCAGTGTTTTTTGTCAGTGTAGTGTCACAGTCAATGCCAAAGGGCCCGGGCCTCTGAGATACAAAGGCCAGAATCAATGGAGCTTTGGAAAAACTGATGGAAAACCACTAGCCGACCGCTGAGAGGGCCGAGGGAGAGAGGAGCCGGGTGGCGGGGGCCAGCTGAACATCAACACCCAACGCCATCGCCGCCACACCACCAGCCACAGCAGCCGCCGAGCTCTGCCCTGTCCCCTCTTATCTATCTGACAAGCAGAAAAAGCCGCCGGAGCTGCGGCAGCCAAGTCGATATCGGCCTGACTTCCCTGAAATGACTTCCACGCCGAGTGACGGAGCCAAAATGTACAGCGGCACAAATCAAAACAACCACACAACCACATCTCCCTTGCTAATGAGTGTATGCATTAAAAGAAAGGCATTATGGGCAGCTCATTCTCAACTCTGACTTCAAACTGGAAAGTGAAACTGGAACATTCACTCTCAGGCAGCCTGAGAAATTAGCATTTTAAAAGAAAACCCTGCTTCCTGATTTGGGGGATTTAACAAAGAAAACCAAACTGTCACTCCCAGTTGCGTGACAACCGAACAGCAGGAGCTGGAAAAAGGTGGATGAAGGGGAAGAAGAAAGAAACACATATCACATTCAGTTTCTCTTGAAGACTAACAGATGTTCACAGAAACAACATTAATTACCACTTCCAGCAGAAAAGCCTCCCTGGGGACAAATCTGAACCTTAAAACACCTTTTTTTTAAATTGGCTAAAACCCTCGCGTTAGTTCTTCTTCTCCTAAATTGGCTGAACAGAAAAGACTGAACACAGACACAATCTCCTTACATGAGACTTACAGTCCAAAAGCTTCATGCAAAACCTAAGTGGGACACTGTGCGGAGCTGAATCTCATATCCTCTGCTGCAAAAGCATCGCACTGAAATAATAAAAGCTCTTAATTCACCCCAGGAAGCTATATGGAGAACACATACTCCATCCCAGCATGCCCTGCTTCCCATTTACACAATTAATACTCAATCTGTCGTGCGTCATGAATTAGTAAATGAATTCTGCCACAGCGTGAGAGAATAAACGAAGAGAGAGAAGGGGGGTAAATTACCTTCTGAAGGCTGTTTGGGTTCAGCTGCGTCTTGTCTATTATCTTAATTGCCACCTGTGAAGAGAAAAAAAAAAAAACAGCATTGAAACGGAGCTAAATAGACAGAGCAGCGAAGAAGAAGCTGAAAAAGGTGGAACTGACATCAGGCAGCTAAGGAACAGAAACTGACATTAAGGAGCCAAGGCAGAACTGAGAATATATTGTTTTCAAAAAGAAAACACTGGACACATCTCAATTTAAAGCTTTTCGAGACGATCTGAGACGGTTTCAACATCCCCCTTAAAGATGAAGTAAGGCAAAAGGCAACTGAGGAATAATTAAAGACAGAATCAAGAGGGAATCGAGGGGAAAAGAGCACCGCTGTCGTACGCTGTGCTCAGAAGACGCTAACTCTTTCTGTTCATCAATTATAAACGGATCAAATGCTCGGCAGCGGCAGACCCAGAAAACATCCATTACTGCCAACAAGGTTTAGAGCCACGAGTCTGCTGATACATGAGGGTGTTTGTTTTAATATTTTACTCATTTTAGTCCTGAACACTTTTTTTTTTTAACAATTCTTACTTTTAAAAATCCTTTTGAAATACGTCAAAGTTGTTAAATGTGACACAAGTCTTACTGAAGAAGAATGACAAAAACCTCAGCCTTGATAGAATAGGTCTAAAAATGGCAAACTTCTGAATTAGATTAGGAAGCGTCTGATCGCGGAACAAGCAGACGACATTAGGGAGCAGTTTTTGATGTGATGCGCTGCGGACACATTTTGGTCGCCACAAAAGAAGCATTGATGTTTAATTTCCAGCCCCGGGAGCTGGTCTGAGCTTTGTTTTAAAAACTGAATACGGGTCCGTGAGTGTGATTCTCCCAATGAAACTGCTGCAGTGTTGTTAACGTAACGACTCAGAGGTGGTGTCACCACGGCCCCGTTCAGGCGTGGCATTAACATCCGTCAGCTCTCAGTTCACACGGTATTAAAACGCTTCCTGGATGCTTCTCCTGTGACGACTTGTGATCGGATCTCACTTCCTGCTCAATATGCAAATGATCACAAACATTTGTGACGGTTGGTTTTACCCAAGAACAGAAGAAACATTTACCACGTGGCGGTCGATGTTGATTCACTCTTTTTATTTGTAAATGAATATATGTGTTTATTATTTAGGTTGCACAAAATGGTGGTGTTGTTGCTGGAGGGGGCAAAATATAATATTAGGAACTCTGAATATACAGCCCTGTTCAACTTTGACCTCAAACATGAAAACATTAACATTTCTAATACATATTATAAACTTAATAAAAGTAGATTTAATGGATTGTGTGGGTGCATCCCAATAAAATGGCTGCTGAGTGCACATCTCAGCAGTTGAAGTACAAAGCTCTTTAAGTTTTATTGTTTTCAGAGTGTAAAGTTCAAATATTATCAATATCTTATGGGTGAGAATCTAATTTAACCTGATTGTCTTGTAGCACATGTTTTTTTTTAAAGTATTTCCAAACCAGTGAAAAGTCATTTGAAAACCTTAAACTTGACTTCCTTCTATAAAAACTCTAAAGCGCCTCTCACCTCTCTGCCGGTGAGGATGTGTCGGGCCAGTTTGACCTTGGCGAAGTTGCCCTTGCCGATGGTTTTGAGCAGCCGGTAGTTGCCGACGTGGGGCTGCTGCGGCTCCTCCGAGCTGCGTGATCGCACGCCGGTGCGGCTCGAGCGCGTGCCGACCTCCTGACGCCCATTACTGTGAGACGTGTGCTGTGGAAAAAGACACATTATTTTAGACTCTAGGAATCGTACATGCTGGGAAACATCTACGTGTGTCACATGTGGGATGACTCATGGTGACCTGCTGCTCCACTCATGATATTTATAGTTCTGCATCCAGAGGACGAAAGTACGTTTTATCTTCCACCTGCCACGAACGATGAAGTGTTAACTGGCAGTTTTTACGATTTCAACCATCACAGCCTCAACATCAGGGGAATACGTCACGTTAAAGTCAGCCACTGTCATTAATGTGAGAATCACTTAACAGTCGAATCATTTGATCTATGAAATGTCAGAAAATAGGGGGAAAGTGTCCATCACACGTTCCCAGGATCCTAAATACAAAGACTATTAGCTCCGTGAGTTGTTGTCTCAGCTCTAAAACACTTCCTGTCACAAAACATCCCTGTTGATTTTTGATCAGATCTAAATTTTCCCAACCGGAGTCCATAGTTACAACTCGGCTGGTTTTTGGCTTCAACACATTGATGAGGGTCACGTTCAGGCAATTGTCGACTAAATTGAAGAAATGTGACAAACATTCTTACGTCCGCCAAGGAAGTTTAGTTTTCACAGAACGACTGGATCAGCAGATTTCCACAAAACCTTTAGTAACCTTTTTTTTTTTTTTTTACATTTTCACCGATGTCCCAGTGAATAAGGAACTTGATTAAACAAATCAGGCTCATTCAGGGGACTGATAACTACGAGTGTGTGCATTGTAGCTTGATTGAATTTAAGGAGACAGTTTGGCCTTGGCGGAGGTATGTGCTCGACTGAGTGCCATTCTGGTTGCCTCATGTCATCCTCATTTTCTTGTTCTGTTTAAAGCAACAACTTTGCTGCCATACTTGCAATAGAGGGTCAACACACAAGCTGAGCAAAACTTTCAATGTTTGTCACCAGTTATTTTCTGTCATTTGTTTTATTTTCTGTTTCAAATTCTGTTCACGAATGACATATACATTTTTAACTTGCATTGAAAAGATAATTAAATTGAAGCTTACGTGACTGTCAGTGTTTAATCCCGTGGTTTGATGCGCAGCAGAGCGTACAGTAACAAATACAAGTTATAAAAGGGTTCTGATGCTGCAGCGTAGACGCCACTGCTCTGATTTACTCTGGGAAAATCATTTAATGGAGCTCGCAAACAACCCCGATCTTAATTTATTATGTCTCATCATCTGTGTAATTAGCAGATGACACTTTAAACACCATGAACACTCATTAAATATCTGTCATTTGCGTTGAGAAACACAATCTCTGCTTCCTTTTCCCTGAAGGACATTAGACCTTATTTGTCTACACGGTTTTTATGATTAATTCTACAATCACAGTCTAGACAAACAAGAAATCCAGAAATCAGTTTTGGCTTTAGAATATTCAGTTTTTTCAGTCATTTAGAAAATAAATTGAAGATGAATTGATAGTAAAAAGGTGGGTTAGGTGTAGCCCAACATGACGTCAGTGTGTATTGCAAATACTAGCAGAGGTGGCCCAACACTGCTACTCACACACACACACAACACTGGAAAATCCTGTTTACCAACCAGCTTTGTCAGCCTCCGTGAGGCTGAGTGGGATTTGAACTCAATGCCAATGTCCCAGTTTGGTTGAGAATCAGTCATGTGCCCGAAACTTAACTCCTCAGGATATTTCACAAAGACCGTAAACACACATACAACCTGATGCATTCTGGGCCGCGTCTTCACTGTGGCGTGGTGTTTTTATGCTGCACAGCTCTGACAGAGCCACTGATTGAGGGATTGATTTTTTGGGATACTGTGATCAAAAGCACCCCCGCGTCCCAACAACTAAATAAAACATCTGACAGATCGACTGCTCCGCTGGTGTCTCATTAACAGCGGCGGTGCCCTCTGCTCCGCCCGGCTCTACCCCTCCCGTCCCCACCCAAACTGACCCCATTCACCCTGACAACAGTGAAAGGGACAGTGATGAAGTGGGACAATTAACAATAAGAGTGTAAAGCTTCAACTTCTTACTCTTCTAACTGTATTTAAAACCACGTGATAACAAATCTACTGTATGTTCTCAACAGAGCACCAATCCAATTTTAGAGTCACATCATTGAATCTTTAAGATATTGAGCAAACACTAGAGCTAATATGACGTCTCACAGAGCAATGGACATATCACAGCAGATAGCGTTACTATCAGGTACCAAGGTAAGACAAGGTCATAGTAAACTTAATTACCGCTGCAGACATTAAACACGTCCATAATGATATTTTAAAGAAATCAGGAGACGTATAAATAACCACAAAATCACAAAAGGTTAGTTAAGCTCTCTTATAAGCAGCAGAGTCACACTTTGAGTCACTAAAGGAATATTTGACTTCTTCAGTGATAGCAGGAGATAAAAATACCATCAGCTGGGATAAGGTCACTGTTGAATACCAAAGACAAACAACCAAACAACCTGTGGGAAGATCAGGATGCAGAGAAACACGCACATAAACAAATACGTTTCCATTTTTCCACATGAAAAACTTTCTGAAAGAAAAGAATTTCCTTTTCAGCAGCTACTCACAAGGCTGCGGTGTCTCCTGGCTGCCTGGGCGCCCGTCATGTTTCAACAGGAAAAAGATTCTGCCCCGCTGATGATGCCCATAGAGATTCCCACAACACCAGATTTCCCCAACTCAAGAGCACCGGTAACCACAGACAGACAGAGAGGGAGACGGGAGGAGGGGGGGGGTGCACTGATCCCAGTCAAGCCCGATTACAGGCGGATGCACCAAAACCGGACGCCAGAGTCTATCCTTTCAAAATAAGGGCTTTTAGTCAGCTGCTTTCTCAAGTGTTGGAGGCATAAAGGCTCCTCTGTGCCCTTGTGTAGGATTATTTTTCAATTGGACTTCAGGGACCTAGTAAGAAACTGATGTTCTCTCGTCTTTGTTGGACTCAGATGTCAAAGAAAAAGACCGTCGGTTGAGAACGGTTACAAATACCACATCACAACATCCTGAAGCACCAAGCGAGTTTATCAAATGTGTCTTAGTTTGACCCACACAGTCCAGAAACACTAAATATATTCAATGTATTATCATGAGACACACAATCTCTCACCAGAAACCACAAATATTCAATATTTTTGTTGTGAATCGATTATCAAAAGACAACAAATGAATGAATCTCCCAATCGTTCCTGCACTAAATTCACTGGCTGTTCTTTTATTCTTTGTTTTAACTCCTTGTTTCACTGGCAACTGTTTTTTTTTTTGTTTTTTTTCCAGCAAGTGAAATGTGTCATTTTCCACCAAATGGATCAATAAAGTTTCACCACATCTCATCGGCCTCAGCGCTCCACTTGTGCATTGTCTCTTCTCCAGCTGACTCTCTGCTGCTGCCATGACGAATCATGAGACTTTGATGAAATCACATGTGCAAGTTACGTGGCTGCAGATCAGCAGGATGTGAGGAGAAAAGGGGAGATTGAGGTGGGTTAGGGTCAGGGGTAGGAAAATGACTTTTAAAGTAACGTGAATTCAACAGAAGCACGAGGCTCATTGGAGAGTGAAGGTTTAGAAAGTATTGGTTGCAGCACTGTTACAACACTAAAAGTCACTTCAGCAGCTCGCTCTGAATTTAACATTTGAGAATTAAGTGTTACGACACTTACAGAACTGATTAACGGCCAGATCATTATTTGGAAATTCGATGATCATTGAATCATCAAAATCGTCATCTGCCAATTATTTTCTCATTTGACTCATTAATCATTTGGGCTGGAAAACTATAAAATAGGGGACATTGATATCGGAGCAGCAGCTGGAATATTTGGGGAACACTTGGTGAAAATGAAACATGACGCAAACAATAAATGAATTAACTTAAGTTTTACAGACACATTTTAACACCACTGAGAACATCAGAGCTATTCTTTTTGGCTGTGTGGCCAGAGAAGTAATACGTTATTTAAGTCATCACCACACTGGTAGTTGACTACACTGCCATTTTGTTTTGCAAATGATTGTTCATCAAAATTCATGAAATGTGGAAATCAAGAAGTGTATTATTGTCGTCTCACTTGCAGCTCTGGTCGTTACACAAACTGACATTTCTATTTAGCTTTACTGAAATGTGCTGTTCATTTGATTCATTTAAAAATAAAGTGGACAGCAACATGAGAGGAGTGGAGGACTTGTAGAGGATGTGTTATTTAAAACACCAGGAGTTACGCACATCTCATTTAATTGTCCCTGCACATCATTTCTACTCTAATGAAGGAGAACATGTCGTTCGCTCGTTTAAAGGGTTTAGAGAAACAACAGACAAGTCGCTGTGACTCCCACAATGCACCTCTTCTATTTTTAGACATTAAAAACGATGAAATGTTTTTTTCTAAATCCGCGAAGTTTAATTTTGAAAATCCCCACCGGAAGCTCTGTTCGGGTTTTTTTTTTTCCAGACTGAGGATTCTGGT